TATCATCCAATTTTCATGTTACTTTCCTCTTCCTTTTTAGTACTTTTATAACCTCGATGGACTTTGTTTTCCCATAGGACAACAGGCAAGCACACAAAATTAAGTGAAGAAAAACTCCCGCTTTATCACTCAATCATATGAAATGTCAGTAGGCATAATAACGAATAAGTATATGAAATGAAAGTTTCATTAGTTATTCTGAGCTATTAATATAGCAAATGATTTTTGGTATTTTTCAAATGCCAAGTCACAAAAAATTCAAAGATCATTTTAAATGTCCTGCTGAACTGAAGAAACCATTCTGAAATAAGTGGCATCTAAAATTTGCTGTAATATTTTTCAAATATAATTGCCGTATCAAGATTAATTTTCCAGAAGATGTGCATTTATTCTCTACCACAATTTAAATTATCAAATAATTTTACTTATACTATTTTAAATCCCCAAATAAATACAAACATACATCCTTCAGTATCTGCTTACTAATTATGCATACTGACATCCAATGCCAACTTTCAGTAAATTTATGACTGCAAGATGACTAGTTGTGTATAGGAGATAAGTTCTTAAAAATGCTTTCATATCTTTCAAACTAAGAATGTAGAAAACAAAGATAATTGCTTTTGAAACTATTCTTTCAAAGGGGGATGATAGAAAGACCCAAACTGTTTGCATCAAACTTGCTCTTGAAGTTTCTTTATTAAAACCCACCTAGCTACAGACAGGCAACCTTGTAGGTCCTGGAGAACATATATTACAAATGTCAATGCTGTTGGAAAATTGTTGGTTTTGACAAGCTACTAAAATTGTGTAACTTCTGAGAGAAATTATGGGATTGTGCTTGCAATTTTTTACTTTTAAAGCTTGATTTTGTATAAATAATCTAAAATTTGTCTGCCTGGAAAGAAATCGATATATGATAAAGATGAAAAAATAGTTTTCAGAGCTAAACCATGGTAATTCAGCTTCTTTTGGATGAGCACCTTCTTTAGATATAAAAGTAAACATAGAGAATTCAGAAACTCAACATATTCTATCTGGATTCTAGTATATGTGTATTTTTGTTATAAATGATGTCATCCTTCCTTATATACTGTGCATATTTTATAGACGGATGGGAAAATATTCTCTGAGGAATATTTAAGCCAACACTAGCTTAAAATTGTAAGGCACATACAGCACAAATCTGAAAAACAAAGAACATGAAAATTTTACTGATGCTTATTTTGAAGTATTGTGCTGATTTTACACTGTAAGAATCATCCTATCAATTACTTAAGTTTTAAATAGTCTTAGTTCATAACTATTTTTTAGAATAACTTTTAATTCCTTATATCTACAAAAGATTATTTACCTTAATACAAACGTTATGGTCTATTTTTCTACTATAGTTCGCCTGCGTATATACACTTTGAAAACATGAGATATGTTTTGGGCTTTTTTGAACTATTCAGAATGTATCTGGAGGGACAGATGTCCTTTTTCAATTCACACAGTACCTTATGGTGTAGTTAGTGACATCACTAAATGGACAAGATATTTGTTGCATAATCATCTCAAACACAGAAGATTTAGGATCTGACCCAAGAGTCCCTAATACTCTCTAAAAATGATCTTTTAGAGTTTGATCATCCAAACATATTTATATTTTCCAACCTATAAACACCTTATAAGTGCTTAATTTTATTTGTGCCCAAACAGGCCTTTTGAAGCTAACTTCATGTTCTCAGATCTTTTAGGAAGAAGGATGATGATTATCGAAAACAAATTTTCTGAAACTGCAGTCAAGAGTATTATATAGATGTCCCTATGAAAAAGGCATTCCAGAATGAAATAACTTCAGTATATATTGAAATAAACAAAGAGAAACCTTAAAAACAATAATGTGTACTGACTCATTAACAGAAAAATGCAGTAAGTGGCGTTTGGAAAACATTACATACATTATACAGGTCTATACATTGTACAGAAGGCCGCACACTGCTCACTTCAGATGTGCTTATCTGGACATTTTCCTGGTTCATAATGTACTTGGATAGAGGAAATTAAAACCATGCATGGTATTTTAAGGTCCTACATACTACGGTTTTGTGTAACGAATAAAATCATGTCATACAGCTTCTTTCTGTAGTTATTTATGAGAGTGCAAGGTACTTAGCTGACTTTTAAGGTACTGAACATTGTCTTCGGTGAATTCTATAACGTCTTCTAAATCTTTTTACTGATGTCCAGGGTAAAATTCACCCAAGGCAATGTACAACAAAACATTTCTTGTGTCATAGGATGGTTTGAGCAAAGACATTCAGGGAACCAGAATATAAAAATATGTTTTAAACTCTTAAATAGGTTATAATCTCCCTGAGTATGTGGCCTAGATATACTTTAATATACTCTTGGCAAATATGAAGTCCTTACATATTACAGGAACTCTAAAGTTTCCTGCTACTTACGATGACATGTAAATATATTCTATCATAATTGATCAGATTTGTTCATCTTTCAACCATGAACAGAATTTTAAAACCTACGTAGGTGTTAGTTACTATAAAGACAAAAGAAGTGCTGAGAAGCAGTAACATGTTGAGCACCATCATTCCTCACAGTGTCAGCTGTGAGAGCAGGAGATACCGGAGGCTGCCGGGCCTGCCGCCCTCGCTGCGCCTCAGTGACACGGCATTTTTGNGAGATACCGGAGGCTGCCGGGCCTGCCGCCCTCGCTGCGCCTCAGTGACATTTTTATAGTGATGTCACTTTGTTCTTTTTTTTCCCCTTTTTATCCCAAACCCTCCTCTCAGGTTTTTAACCACAGGGTTGATGGCAGATATAAAATCACTCTGTGTGTGTGTGTGTGTGTGTATGTGTGCGCCTGTGAAGCTATTTTAAGGAGAAGACTGTATGTGAAAAGGTAACTCGATGCTGATTTCAGGAGAAAGATCTGCTTCTTTCCATAATTCCTTCCTTCCTCTCTATTCCTCCTGAGTATTCTAAGAAATCAAATGGTTACCACAAATGGAAAATCACTGACCTAAAGTAATAAGAAAGTTCCTAAAGTAACAAAGAAAATACCTTGTTAGCTTAAGGAGAAACTTGTTTAGCAATTAGTTTTAGTGCCTAACTTACACAATCCATTTACATAAAAACTTTAGTTCATATATGTTCTGAAAACACTGAAATGCCCTGAGAAAATGAATTTTTCATTAAGAAACTTACTTGTATCATTTTTAGGTCTACCCTTCTCCCCACCACCTTCACTATATAAGAAAAGGCCTATGAATCAAGGAAACAAAGAATCCTCTCTTTTGCATCTTGTCATGGTATAATTATAACTAGTGCTGATTTGTTCAATGGCATTTTCCCACAAAGTAACATTGGCTGCAATGCGCTAACACTTTGTTTCTTCTGATCCCCTTTGTATAAAGTCATAATCAATGGTTGTTGAGCTGCCTAATGCTTCTGATTTTTCCCCTCAAAAATCACATGGCTAAATTTTTCCCTAATATAAAAATCTGAAGAATCCTCTTCTCTTGAAATTTCAAGAGAATGACAATGGGCCCACAAATTACTCTTGCAATTGGTTAATAATATGAATTCTATGAACTAGTAATACTTTACAGCATAGGACTCAAGGTACTTGACTGTATTGTGAACAAAAAGAAAATTACCTCAAGATGTATTGTTTTATAATTATTTTAGTAAATTGTTTTTAGTAATTAAAAGTGAAAAAGTCTTGTTTAAGCCCTATTTATTGATATTCTTCTAAATTGAATGGGTTTTGAAATATAATAACTTATAGGTATTTCAGTAAAAAGGAATCTATTAGAATAATGTTCACTCTTGATCCTAAGCAACTCAGTATGGCTAAGTTCCTTAGCTTTTCTAATTTTCTTAAATTTTAGAGACTTTATTCTGTTAGGACCAGATGCTTAAAACATCGGAAGTAAAGATAAACATGTCCTATTACTACTGTTTTCAGCTGAAATTGCTCATGTAGATTATCAAAGTATGACATTGTTAATTAACAGTAAGATAATTACTCTCAATTTTCTTCAACAGATGAGCTTGGTGCAGGGAAACCCAAGGGAGAAGGAACGCTTTAGGGTACATTTCATTGCACATCATGAAAATGTGTGATAATATCAGACTTTCAGAGCATTAGGAAAGCAATTGTTTCCATTTTGAACATTTATATTTCTTGAGCTTTTCATTAAATCCAAAATTCTACCAATGAAACTTCTATTTCTGTAAACTAGTTAAGAACAAATACATGATATGGGTTGTCCATACTGAGCCTGCTTTACTGAATTAAAGAGGCACTTAGATTCCTGAGGTCTTTTCCCTTTCAGCAGGGTACTTGGCCTTGTAAAAACACAAGAGCACTACTGGTGATCTAAACATGTTAAGTTTCTTACAGCTCATAATGTAAACTAGGCTGAGCATTTTTTTATCGTATCCACTCAATCCTACCCTGAAAGCGGACCAACTGCAAACTACATCCCAAGGGGAAAATGCAGCCAGCTTCCTGTTGTTGTTTTTTCCCTTGGTAAATAAAATTTTTTGGAACACAGCCGTGCTCATTTTTTTAACATAGCTTTCACACTATAGTATAATGACATTGTTGAGTATATGTGACAGACAGGGCCCTGCATAGCCTGAAATATTTATTCTCTCTTTAAGAGCTTTCTGACACTGGAAGAAAGGATGCTCTGTGGATTTTATCCTATCACAAGGAAATTCCTGCAAATGTGACTGCGTGATCTCTAAGATTATGACTATAGTTATCAGTTCTATCTTACAGCAGACAGCACCAAACTGACTATTGGTGACACCATGCAATAGTTAATAGATACTCTCCCCGCCCCAGCCCCAGTTATCTGAATGGAATGTTAGTGTTTCTGCTCTTTGTTACTTGGCCTAGACTGTACTGAGCAAGCACATCCAGCGAGCCGGCTGCACTTCTCTACCGGGCAGGGCCCGGCTCACACGCGGTCTCCCCGACTCACCTGATGCCCCCCCGGGGGCGCTCCGACTGCTCCGACAGAAAGCTGGTGCTGCTGAGGCGCGAGGCACTGCTGGTTCTGGAAATGGCGGACACATCACTGACATCACTATCTGATGATTTGGCAGAGACGTTATCACAGCTTCTGTACTGATCTTTATGTATGTTATACTAAAGATTAAAAACAAGAAAGCGTGAGCTCCAGCATCAGGTGGCGGCGGAAAGACACAGACACGGGGAGGATACTGATGACTCGGCCAACAGCAGGCCAAAGGGCACCTCGTGGAGGCAGGTGGGATCTAAAGCACCCACACACTAAGGACACATGGCCTCCAGAGGGACATTCCTACGTCCTCTGGGTGGTAAGGGGCGCTTCTGGAGGCGGGATTACAAATGGAACACAAATTAAACGCTGGATGGAAAATTCACAGCAGCAAAGGGTGGACTTCGGTTTTAAACTTTGTATTTTAATTAGACATTTTCAGATTTAAACTATGGACTCAGTACTAAAAGTAAAAAATGGGATTCCCATTAAAATTTCAATATACACTATAGCTTATATTTAAATGTTTAAATTTGTCTTTGGTATTAATTACCTAAGATTCCAGACTCATTAGGAAAAAGGTTACAACATGAGAATCTGCCAAAGCAGTTAATCTACTCTTCTGTCTACGTCACTTTCTCACTGTAACTGATCACACAGTGAAAAGCTTTACATATTATTTTAATATGTTTTAATTATAAAGCATATATAACTTCACAATACCTAATATATAAGTGATTCTCTTAACTTAGGTACTGGAAGTAAGATAACTTCTTATATGAAATCAAAGAACATATAGGTAAAATAAACACATGACTAAACATTGAGTATTTGTTTCCTATCAAGCGACTGAATTTTAGGTTTATGTGTTAAGGAGTGAAAATATGAAATGTTTATTAAACCTGTAGAAAATATCACCCATCTTCTGATGCTCCATATTAGATGACTTTTAATGAGTCTAAAATAATCCAAACACTCTATTTTTAAAAATTTGTATAAACAACTGTCTTGCTAAAACATATAAAATAAACTGATGATACAATGTGGATCTGACTATACAAAAAGAACTATAATACAATAGTGAAAAAAAATCCTACCGAAGGGAATTATGTTTATTTAACATGATTTAGTATTAGATGAGAATAGTTTAGGGCTAAGGTATTTAAATGCTAGTCTTAATTCTTCATCTCTCATGTTTTTAAGGGGCATAAAAACAATTACAAATTTATAGAATATCCATAAATTATCTTTCCAAAGATTTTTTCATAACTGTGTGATTTTTTGAAAGCCACATGCATAATACAAAAGGAAATTCATATATATTATGCCCAGAACTGAGGTATTTCTACTTCATGAATGATCTGAAAGTAATATGACTTAAGATAATGCATTCAAAGTAATGTGATAATGTTCATCACCAAATTCTGTCCTATCTGATAGCATGATCCTGACTGACATGATTCATCTCAGTCAGAACTGTTTGTTTATTTATAGAGTAGATGAGCTAAAACCTTAATATGCTCACATAGTAGAACCCGAATTTAATACTGTTACTGGAGTACATCTATAACTCATTTGTTTCTGAAATTATTTTGCTAAGTAGATATATTATGCAATTATTATAATGTTTCCAAACATACTGAAATAATAGCTTATCCATGACAGCATATAAGAAGAACTGGGTTTTAGGACCATAAAAATCAACCCAGCAGTAGCAAATTTTCTGGCATTGTGTTGACATCCAGAACAAATGCTACCCTTGCCTGACAAATGTCAATAATAGGTATATGTGCGTGTGCATGGAACCATTTATCCAACTAAAGAACTTCTTCTTTGCCATAAGCCATCTCTTCCTTAACTTTTTGTATATAACTTTTGATATTCCAGCAAAGAGCGAAAACAAGGGATTTTTAAGAGGCTGTAGGTCATATTAAATTTTCTATACCGGGGTACAGAAGAATCTATCATTCTGATACAAGATCACAGTTTTCTTTACATTGGTTATATGAAGAAAATGATACACTTTTACATTCACTTTTTACTACTATAACTACTTATTTTAAAATCCTGTTAAAAGTTTAAATAACTTTGTCTTTTTATCAAGCATAATTTGTTAAATTTCCTATTTAAAATTAAATATTTTAATGGAATTACATTATGTTTTAAGAAATATAATGTCCTCAGGAGGAATGTATGCCGATCATACAGCAGGGAAATAAGTTCTTGCTATAGGGGAGCCTCTAATTGTGGGGCTGCTATTTTTATAAGTAAGTAATAATAACCATTCAGCAGCTACCTACCATACCCATCACATGAGTCTTGGTCGCTGTTCCCGGTTTACATAAACATAAGCACTTTTTAAAACTGTGAGTTCCTAAATGCAAATTCACCCTTCAATTATGAATTTCACCCCATCACTGAGGCACACAACTCTGTATAACATCAATGAAAAAATAGCATGGGGTCACATTTCAGGGATACCAAAGTCGTTTTGTGTTTTTCTCAAAAGCAAAGTTAATGCTAATTCCTTACTCAGGATGGATGTCAGGGTCAGTCGGCCTTTTAAAGGAGGTGCCAGGTTTGAAACATCTACGGAATATCTGTCTGGTAATTCTTGGCCCTGAAAAGAATTTAGTTCTACTGGTGTGTAGTTATAAATATTTTGAGAATGATGAAGTAATTTCTAATTTGGCAGAATTTCAACTAAGGTGTACTGCTTCATCCAAAATGTCAAATAGTTTAAGTTGCTAAAAAAAGAATAAAGGGTTAAGGTTCAAAGCTAAATGTATATTAAATTTACAACAATGTTAGCTCTTATTTATAAGAATAAACATATTTTTGTAGAGTAAATTATAAAAAGGTTGGGGTAAGTGGATAAAAAATGAAAAATATAATTTCTCAAGTGTATGAGAGAGATTTGAGGGCTGGAAACTAAACATTTTATTGTAAGCATTAGGCCATAATATGAATATTAGAATCGTGAAGAGTATTTATCTTTTACTTGACATGTAAAGAGCTAATCATTTGTCAGTTTATCTTATGTATTTTACTAACTTACATTCTTATAAGTTTTTTAAAGATATAATATCTTTGATCTCACATTTGTTCATATAATTTATACTCATTCTATTTATGTAACAGTGTAATATCAATTTATGCAGTAAGAGCAACGGTAATATATTTAAAAGTAATGTTTTTTAAAACATTCAAATGAGAGAAAAAGAAAAAAGATGCCTGTGTCAAAAAGGGGGGAAAAAGAGAATATGAGAATTAAATTTATGCAAACTGAAAGCTGTAGAAGAGCCTCTGAATCAAACTGGAGCATAGCGCCCATTTCAATGGCGTAGAAGCCGAACAAAGTGGGACCTAAGTTCGAATCGAATAGGGGGTTCTAGGGTTTACTGACATTGGTATCACCTCCTTTCTTCTGAGCCTCCATTTTCATAGATTTGCTAAACAAAAGAGCTGAGATGGAAAATTACTTTGAAGTATTTTTAAGGTCTACATTTCTACGACCCAGAGAACTTGGAATCTCCCAAGCAAGACAAACCTACTTTTGATTTGTTATGAATATAATATTAGTGGTTGTTTGGACATCTAGAGTAATTCGCTTTGCAGATTCTTTTTGATCATCTGATTAATATTAGAGTCCTCGTTCAGAATGATTCAGAAAGGCTTTTAATATTTTACCCTGGTTCTCGATTTACCCCTTTCTTGCGGCCTATACTGGCCCTACCTCCCGTAGGCTATTGTATTTGACCTTACCCTTTGACACAATGCTAAGAAACTGGGAAAACATTTCTAGATTTAATGAGGCATTTCCAGTTTAAAGAGCATTTCCAAAAAACTGCTTCTGACTGTGGAGGAAGAAAGCCTAAATTACCCTGTCTCTTAATTCTTCCTGAATTTGTAGTACAAGAAAACAAAAATGATGATATCCATAAAGCAGACAGACAAATAAGCCGATTTAGTGATAATACCACATAGAATAAACCTCCAAGAAGATATGTGGAGCTGGAATCAGCAACTCTATGGAAGGTCAAGATGCTTTCCTTACTAATTGGTTTTGCTTTACAAGTTTTACTTTGTAAAATGTTGTTTCAGAGTCCCAGGGCATTGGGCCACACCAAATCAGTGACCATAAGCGCTGTCTCAGCTGGAAGCCCTTTCGCAGCTAACCTGTAATGTAAAGTGATACCCTGCATCTAACACACGTGGCTCCATGGTAGGCTGGTGACACATCATATTTGGCAGTCACTTTTATTATTTGCATTAGTCTCTGAGTATCTGGCTATATACTGAGCAGCCTCCATTATTTAAAAATAAGTAGGTTTTTTAGCCCTTCCTCCCATCCCTTTTCTCTCTGGCAAGTGTCGGTTTATAACTGTGAATCTGTTTCTGTTTTGTTTGTTCATTTGTTTGGTTTTCACATATAAAGGAAATCATATGGCACTCTTCCTTCTATGTCTGACTTATTTCAGTTAGCACAAGACCCTCTAGGTCCATCCATGTTGTTGTGAATGACAGGATTTCATTCTTTTTTATGGTTAAGTAATATTCTACTACACATATATGTACTGCATTCTTCTTTATCTATTTGTCTATCAATGGACACCTAGGCGGCGTCCATATCTTGGCTATTGTAAATAATGCTGCAATGATAATAGGGGTACATACATATTTTGGGGTTATATAGTCAATAATATCCTAATAACTTTGTATTATGTCAAATGGTTACTAAACTTATTGTGGTGATCACTTCGTTAGATATTTAAATGTTGAATAACTATGCTGCACACCCGAAAGTACTATAATATTGTATGCTAACAATGTTTTAATAAATATAAGTAGATTTTTCTAGGTTCATATTTCAAGCTAAAAATATTGATTTAGTATAGTTTTATTTAATTTTGAATTTCTAAAAGGCTATTACTTCCAAAAGAACTTTTTGATATCAAATTATAACAAGTTTTCCTGTAATGGCTGCTGCCACTTTTGCAGTATTCTAAAAACAAGATTTTTAAGTAAGCCAGATAATATATATACAAATTATATCATGAAGCATACAATTCTATGCATATATTATTAGATGATGGTTGGTAGTTTATAAATTCAATGTATTCTTACAAAATAATATTGAAGTATAAGTCAAATGTTTATTGGCATGGGGAATTGTGTGGATTTCTGTTTCTAAGAGTTTAAAATCAGTTACTTATCTTACTGAAGAGAGATCAATAAGATCTCTCATATCACACAATTTTAATCATTGGGTAACAAATCTCAATAGTAAATATTAACCAAAAATGGTATTTAAGACTATAAATCTGTAACTTAATATTTAAATGCAATATTAAATGATACTGAAGCAATAAAATGGTTTTATCTATCTTGCTTATTTATGTGATTCTGTCTATGGAAAATCGATCATTAAGTGACTTTGTTTTTTAAAATTTTTTATTGAATTTATTGTGATGACACTGGTTAATAAAATTATATAGGTTTCAAGGGTACAATTCTATGATAAATCATCTGTATATTGTATTGTGTGTTCATCACCCAAAGTCTAGTATCCTTGTCACCATTTATCCCCCATACCCTCTTCTCCCTGCCCCCACCCTCCCTTTCCCTCTAGTAATCACCACACTGTTGCCTGTAACTTTAATATCAAGTGTTTACATTTTCTTTTTAGAAAAATCATTAAATCCAAGTTAATAAAGTTATATCTCGTGGAACTAGGAAAGAGGTTATGATGCAAGACTAGCATTTGAAAAACTCTCATATATCTTGGTGCTTGCTAGTCCTACCTGGTACACACACTGTACATTTATAAAAGGGAGGCTATTGGTTGGGTACTACTAGTTTTACCTTGGAATATTGCTCGCGATCAAGTTCTTGACTAGAACCAGACCCTGTTGTCTGCTTAAATCGGTGCACTTTCATTTTCATCTGTCTTGTTCGCTCCTCCACTACTAAGCTTGCTGCAAAAACACACAATGGAAGCCTATTAAAACATGTGAAGCACCTTTAAGAAACTGAATGGTTTAAGATTTTAATGCTTTTGATATGACTTCAATTAAATGAAGTTTAGAAATAACACGATTAGCAAATTAAACAAAATGCAGAATATACAATGCTAGCAACTGTTAATCTAAAGATGAACATGACAGCTCACACAGAATGGGGAACAAAAATATTAGTAACAAAATACCCTATTTCTACATCTGATATGAAATAGTTTCAATTCCGTTCATAAATGATTATGTAAAACCAAATCTAATTGTGAAAATATGTTTCATCTTTAATCAACTGGTTGTTGTATATACATATATAGGGAAAACAAATATGCATACTGAACACATCACACATATATGCACATGCTTACATGCATGCACACACCCTTTAACATCCTCAGCTAAGTCACCTAAAAACTTGTTAATGGATAAGAATCTCCTTTTATGAGGCTTTCTTATTAAATGATTAATTTCTACCAGTAGCTTTTCACGAATATTTGCCAGACTAAAAGTTTAGTTGATAGCTATGTCTGACCACATATATAAAATTTGTAAATCTAAAAAAAAAAAAAAGTGGTATAAAAATTTTAGCTCTGAAATTTAAAACATGTAAAGAAATATATTCTATTTAACACTTTATTAATCTCTTAAGTAGCAGGTGTGACTGTTTAGATGGAAAAAATTATAGCTTTCAATAAAATATATGTCAGAATCCAGCATAAGTGGTTAATTTTTTCCTTTGATTACAAATAAAGGAGAAATAAGAGCTAAGGGTACAGCTATGTGAAGAGTGAGCTCCTAAAACATACACCTGTGCTGTATGAGACCTACGTTTACTTTTTACAATTTATCTCTTTCCAATTTCCCAGACTATTCAACCTCTTCAAGTGCTAAGTTCTGTATATACATATATACATAAAAAAACTGTGATTAATGTATCAAGCCTTCTGCCAAGAGGCCCTAATGATTGAAGGGTAATGGAAGTGTTGATATATCTAAATGACTTGGCTGTTGATTTCACCTCCTGCAAGTTTATGTGATACCTGCTGACAAATTTTCCCCTTGCGATGATCAAACATGGCCTATTATCCTTGATAAAAGACACTGAGACCCACTTTAAAAAATATTAAGTAAATATATAGCTTTTATTGTGTGTTTAAGTACAAACTAATAGTTCAAGAGATAAATACACAGTTTGAAATCTGTGGTCAAATGTTTAATCATACTTTTAGCACCAATTATTAGATGTTTAGCTTTGTTTAAATTCAGTAAATTAGATAGAAAATATCAACCCCTAACATCACAGTTATGTAACTTAAGCAATGATGCATATTTGCTTTGAAAATGTTGACTTCAGAGACAGTAAATGATAACTATTAATGATTAAAAGATGGTTCAATGAGATCTTGGGAAAAGCTGTTCAGAAATGTATTAATTACTTGATAACATATAAGAAGTCAGAATGAATATTATAAAGCAAAATGTTAATTGGGAGTAATAAGGAACTGATACAAAGTTACTGAAAAGTGGGTTATATTTATAGGAAGCCATATGCAATATAAGAAAATGTACAAATATCTATTCTCTGCCTTCTGCCTATGGTGTGGGTACCTCTGGGTACTTGCTCAGTCTTTGAGCTTTGACAAAATCAAATGAACAGTGATAATTGTTGTACTTTATAATTAAAGTTTAAAGCAATCTCTACTTGGATTACAAACAGATTTAAATGACATTAACTTAATTTTCTCACCAAATGATATTTATTTTACTTTAAGAATTACCTGACATTTATTAGCCCATAGCTTTGTAACCTTCACTTTAATCCTTAGGGAAGATGGTAACTTGAGACTGAAAAGATTATTTCCCAAGAGCTACTGACCCGAAGCAGTCTGAAACAGTTCTGGGGAGTTAATGGTGCTGGGACACTACCCTGTCTCTCTGAATAGGACTACTCAGCTTATGAGATGGCTGCATTTAAGTCTTTATTTTGCAAAACTCAGAACTAAATCATAAGAAGAAAGTGGAAGCCTAACTAAAATAAATCTTAAAATGGTTTTAAATGGGTTCAATTTTACTTTTCAAAAATGATATATGTGTATATATAGTATTTTTATTCTTAGAGAAGTGAAAGTTGACATCTTTTAATCCGTCAAAGAAAGAAAATCTCCAAATTAATATTGACACAAAGTCATTTTGACTCTCCAGCAAAAAGGTAGTTGCTATGCTATCCTCATTACTTATTTTACATTTTATTTAAACTCTATATTGTGAAATAAAATGACATTATTTCTGAATCATTGGTGTGCCAATCTCAGTAGTAAGACAAACTTATAAATAGAATATTTATCACAAATTTGGAACTGAAGACATGATTCCATGATTTATAAAGAGAATAACACTTAGCGATGATTAAAAGTGAACTGAATTCTTGGAATATGACTATCTGTCAAGTATCTCACTGTAAGTAAAATTAACCACAGCACCAAGAGCTCAAATATCTTACTGTAAAAAGACTGATTACTGATCATCACTTTAACATTTTATACTATTTTATCAATTTAATGCCAATAGAAAAAATTGAAATATAGAATAAAATATTTTCAAAATTCCCCACAAATTTTTACAATGCATTTACATTTTAGGAATGTTCTGAATGTTGGCTGCATTTTAAATTAACAAAATCACTAAAATACCAGTTGCTATTTCTTTACAAAAAATTAAGGAATTTTTTAAAATTTGAAAACTCACATACTAGAGTGTTAAAAACTCTTCTTATATTCTACAACAAATATAATTATCATGTAATTTAATTTAATCTTTTAATGAAAATAGAGCTTACATTACATAATACAGTCAAAAGGTAAGGATGTGTGCTGTGCTAAAGACTGTATTTCACCATAATTGCCCGTAAGGTGTGATTAACATGGCAAATTATTTATTTATGTATTTTTTTAATCCTCACCTGAGGATATTTTTTTCCATGACTTTTCTTTTTTTCCAGACAGTGGAATGGGGGGGGGCGTGGAGAGAGAGAGAGAGACATCGATGGGCTGCCTCCTGCACGTTCCCCAACTGGGGCTGGGGATGGAGCTGGCAACCGGGGTACCTGCCCTTGGCCGGAATCGAACCGGAGACCCTTTGGTCTGCAGGCTGATGCTCTAACCACTGAGCAAAACCAGTTAGGGTGGCAATTTTATTTTTAAAAAGAGTGTTTTGTAGGTTAGAATTTTTCATTACACTTTCTACAAGAAGGATGGTGTGTCTGACGCTGAATAAATTGTGCTTTTAAAAAGCAGATATTTACCTAAACAATATTTATTGAACATGCCTCATTTCTTTTAGATCAATTTTTCTCTATATACGTTGTTATTTCTAAACTCTGGCATCTGTATCAGATAAATCTATATATGTCAAAACTCATCTCACCATTACAATAAGTATAAAACTGGAACTTATTTTTAGGTGTTAAATTAATATCATACTTATGAAGTCATTTTTTGTCTTCAAACTCAACAAGAGTAACTCAGACACTGCAGGTGAGAAAAGTAAATAAAAATTTTAAAGTCCGTAATTAATTACAATTTTCTAATAAAAAGTATTAGATATTATTACAAATAAAGACAGATTAAAATAATTCTTTTTTCATGTCACATGGTTTGCTATAAATTCCTAATCTATTGATATGGTTGATCTTAGATGAGTCTACCAATAAGCAGAGATCATTTACAAATGTTGTTTGTGCCTGTAACAATTTTTCTGTATCTATTCTTTTCATAAGATTACTAAAGAATCCTGTGAGTTAAAAAAAAAAGCTTAAGGATCTTTAATAAATCTTCCCCAACGCATCAAAGAGAAATTCCCATAGAATCACCTTTTCTAAAGAGAATATAATTTTCTGGTAAACACTTTTGACTTACCAGACATTTGTAATTTGCTTTAAAATACTATCAATATTATAGATATGGGTACTTTCAGAACATTATAATTTAAAACTCAAATTCTCATAAATATATTTAAAATATTATCCATGACTTTACAATTATATAAAGATGAAGCTGTTCTGATCTTCAAATTCCTTAAATATCTCACAATTTTCTCTTTGCGTCTAGAAATTAACATGAATCTGAAACTTCAAGTGTCTGTGTTTATAAACAAAATAATCCATACATTATGTTGTTAAACTTTACAATACTTTCAAGTATTTTAGATTAAATATGACTGTAACATAAAAATTTATGTATTATTAAATATATTAAGGTAAAATTTTAAGAGTATTTTATAACAAGGTTAGCTAGTGCATGTGTCAAAAGTGATACATGATAATATATGGACAGAATAATTAAGCTTGTCTAGTTAACTACTATATGCTACCATGCTGTAAGAAGAGAAAAACCAGTGCCTCTGCTTCCTCGCTGTAGAGCAATACAATGAGAGTTCCGTGATAGTGGAGCCCATCTTTGCTCCAATGCATGACTCAGAAAGAGGAATGATAGATAACATATCTGGAAATTGTGAGGTAGAATAAAGTATAGGAATGAAATACCTGCAATGACTTAGTTATTGAAAGCATTGAAAAAGAATTCCCTCTCTGAAGCATTTTATTTTAAAAAATCACAGATAGTGGGAACTCAAATATAAGAAACAATATAATATGAAAAACATAAAGATTAAGGAGTAATAGAAGATGATAAAAAAAATTGCTAATTGAGTCTTTAACTAGCATAAAAAAATCCAAAGCCTGGATAGAAAAAATAGTTTGATTCTTGAAAATTCGAAATGGAATACTAGTCTGTACTCACAGTTTTCTAGACTTTAGAGGAATATACATTAAGATGGACATTCTCCATACGCCTGGAAGCAATGGGGCAACATGGTAACAACCCAAGACTGGGAATAACTAAGCAGAGATTCAGCACTAGACCCATCACCATCATCAATGCTGCCTTGATCAATTATTGATATCTCTC